AGACTGCTGAGACTGGTTTACTTGGGTAGAAATAGGGAACTCCACCTCCATGACTGAGCCAGTTTTCTGCTTTAAAATAGCTTTAGAGTTTGGCACAAATCAAAGCTGTTTTATTTAATCTTGATAATAGAAAGTTTGGGAAATGCTGCTCTGGAAAAAGTCACTCCACAGAGGCAACTGAAGAGATGTATGTAACCAAATAGACCATTTCCTTAGACTGAGCTGTTGAGTGCAAGCAGATGCTAAGCCCCATTTGACTAATTTTAATTGGGGTGACTCATGACAAGGTGAGTTCTGTGAACAAGCCTTTATTTAGTTACTTCATTGTGGTGTTCTACTGCAGGAATGTATTGGCATAAAAGCAACAGCTCTAAAACCTGCTGTGCCAGAAGTTGCCAGTGTGACAGACTCAGCAGAACACTGACAGATAATGAAGTATCTCCAGAGGAGGTGATGAGCAGATGGATTTGGAAAGGCAGTGGTTAAAAAGAAAGGCATGTGTGTGAGAGGCTCCTTAAAACTCAGCTGCGGTCTCACGTATTGCAACAGGACTTCTGGAAAGCCAGAAGCTGCTAGCACATTGTTTTGGAGCTTAGGAGGGAATTAAAGGCCAAGGTCAAATCTGCACATGGACATTCTTCCCTTGTTTTAACCCACAAATGCCAACCAGGCCATTAAAACATTTAAAGTAGGGTTTTGTTTTATTGGAAACGTTGTATTTACAACAGTCGTGAGCAGGGAACGTGGAAAGGCTGTTTGAGGTCACTGCTTCAGTGTTAACAGAAATCTCCTTGTGCTCAGGGTGTCGCCTCTGAAGCACTGGGGTGCATCCTGCTGGTGGGATGGAAGGTGGCTCTGAGGGGCAGTAGTAATCCCTGTGTACACCATGTGTATTATTGTCCCTGAGGCTGGTACACAGCGTAGTGACCCAGCTGAGACACTCAGGACAGAGGAGCAGCCCCTCTGCTGGGACCTGTTCCGACTCTTGTGCCCATCATTGTTCCCCGAGCGCAGGGCCGCGCTCTCAAAAGAACTGAGAGCACGTGAAGCCCAAAATAGCCCCAGGTACAAACACGGCTGTATTCCAGCTATTCCCACCCATGCCTTTCTTTTCCTTGCAGCTGGACTGATAGCAGGTTATCACGGCTCCAAACATAGCTTGTACTTCAGCATGACTTGGAGGACTTTGACAGCTCAACTGGACACGTGCAGTGATAACCCATTTCCAGTGCTCCTAGAAAACTTCAGTCCCTTCCCTGAGGTGCTCAGTCCATTCCTCTACGAGTTAACAGCAGCAAGAGGAATCTGTTTTCTGTTTGAACCAGAGCAAGGGAAAAAGCTCTGGTAAGAAGCTTAATGTTCAGTGTGAAAGTCTCCCAATTCTCAGCTGCTCCTCAGTGTTCTGAGGCTGAAGGAGAACTCTGTCAGGAGAAGGGAGAACGCTTTTTCTGCAGGCTTTAACCCCACCGGGCAAACAATGGGTACAAGAAGCACTTACTTGCTGCCTGTTGGATTGTCAGCTGGGGCCTTGTTTCCAGCAGTGCTTGAGAAGTGGACAGGGAGAACCTGGCAGAGGGAAGCACAGGCTGAATGGAAGACGGGAGGGTTCAGGGGGAGAGCTGCTTCTGCCCCTCTTGCCAGACCTCACTGAACTGCTCAAACTGGTGCTTTTCATTGTTAGCAAAGAGAAGATTTAACAAATGTCATGTGCCTTTTTCCTTCAAATCTGGGTGAAACCTGGATTCAAACAGGGTGGAGGTGAACGAGACGTTTAGGAAAATCCGCATTGGGACATGCCGATTATGCCTTTTTGCCACTTGGGGCCACCCCTTCTCAGGCACATGAAACATAAACCCAGCCCCACAGATGCAGAATTAACACTGTAGAGATGGCTCACAGGGGATCAGGGGTCCTGGAGTGTCCCGGGGCTGGGACCCAGCCCACACCTGCTCCTTGGGGATGGTGGGCACAGGGCAATGTTTCCCATGGCAGCGAGGAGCCAGCTCGGGCCTGACTGCTCCCACAGCCCCAGGACCAGTCCCTAAGCCTCCTTCTGGGTAAAGCCTCTCTGGAGAGCACCATCAGGTGTCCCAGGAATCAGCTCCTGAAGTGTGAAGGGCCAGAGCGTGGTGCTAAGCCTCAGGTGCCCAGACCCAAAGCTGGTGCTGATGTTGTGCCTCAGGAATACAGACCAAGTCCTGCCTTTTACTGCTCAGCACCAGAAACTGAGTCCTACACTTTGGGTGGCTCAAAACCACACTCCCTTCACCAGTTTTGGGGCTCACAGAAAGAGAACAAGTCCTGAGTTTGTGGAGCTTGGCCCCAGACTCCTTGGCCAGCTCTAACACAGAAAAACCCAACCCACTAAGTACTGCATTATGAGGGCTCATATGGCCAGATTTAGGGCTGAGAGAGACTAAATCCTGTGATTTGTGGGCCAGGTTCAGGGCTCAGAAACAGACCAAGTGCTGTGTTTCTGGAGTGTGAACCCTGGGTCACTCAGACAGTTTTAGGGCTCACACAAAAAAAAACCCACTAAGTTCTGTGTTTGGACGGTTCAAACCCAGCTCATTTGGCCAGATTTAGGGCTCAGAAACAAAGTCCTGCATTTTGGGGGCCAGGTGTGAGGCTCATGAACAGAGACCAAGTGCTGCACTGGGGGCCTCAGAACTGAGCTCGGGGGGTCAGTGTTTTATCTGAGAAACAGACTAAGTCCTGCATTTTGGGGCACACAGCCTGAATGCTGTGGTCTGGGGGGTTGAAAAACAGGCTCCTGGGGCTGCTCTTAAGGCTGAGAAATGGAGACCAAGTGCTGTGTTTTGGAGCCTGGGGAAAGGATGATGTGGCCCATCCTAGGGCTCGGAAACTGAGACCGAGTGCTGCATTGTGGGTGCTCGGCACCAGGGTCCCTCAGCCCGTTTTGGGGCTCCCCGGGAGAGCCCAAAGCTGCGTTTGGGGGGGCTTGAAACGGAGACCAAGCGTCCTGTGTGTGTGCTGGGAGCCAGGCTCCTGCGGCCGGACCTGAGCTAAGCACAGAGCCCAAGGGCTGCGCTCCGGTACCCAGAGCAGGGTCCGGCTCCTGACCCAGGCACCAGCCCCGCGCTCCGGGGACTCACACCCGGGTCGTGCGGCCGCGTTCGGGGCTCGGGCGCTGGGCCCCGCGGAGAGCGCTCGGAGCAGCGGCGGGGCTCGGGGCGCCGCGGAATAAAGCCCCGAGGGCCCGCGCCGGCGCCCCCCGGCCCCGCCCGCGGCCACCGGGGCAGGGCCCGCTCTGCAGGTCCCACACACGGTTCCCAAGCAGCCTCCGGTTCCGCCGGGGTCCGGAGCCATCCCCCAGCACACGGGGTGCGAGATCAGCCAGGGCCGGTCTGTGCTCACGGCGTGGTCTGGGGGCTTTGGAATGTGTTTGGGTGCACAGGAGGGTGCTCTGGGGGCACAGGAGGGTGCTCTGGGGGTTCACGAGGGTGCTCGGGACCCGGAGCCGGGTCTCTGCAGCACGGCCCCAGGGGCAATATCCCGGCCTCAGATGGAGCCCCGGGGCTGGGCCGGAGCCCGAGTCCTGCGGCTTTGGGCCCGGAAACGAGCCCCTCTTGAGGGTTTCTGGGGCAGGGCTCGGGCTCGGGGTGGGGGGTGTGAGGCTGTGGAGGGAGGTTTGAGGCTTTGGGCGCGGGTTTGGGCTTGGGGGGGCTGGTGCATGGGCCCCCTCCGGAGGGGGTATCCGCAATGCTGGGACCCTGGCATGCACCAGGCCGAACTGAACGCATGAGATGGTCTCTGGGGCGAAAGGAGCTTTTCGCACTGTGCTTGGGGCCAACTCTTTGTTTACTCCTTGTTACTCCAGGGCTGGGCATGAGCAGTTCTGACAGCTCCTGTTCATCTGCATCGTGACAGGGATTGGTTTAGGACCTGGCCACAAGCCAGGCTCAGTTCAGCGAGCACAAGCTGTAACTGCCTGGGGCTGGAGATGGACACGAGCTGCAGCCACGATGGAACTACAGCCATCCAGGAGCTGGGCCTGAAAAACAGGAGGGCAGAAACAGACCTGAGGCTGCAATGGGGCCCGAGGCATGAATGAGCTGGAGCTCTTGTGGGGACAGAAACCGCTGCCCTGGAGCCGCGAATGAGCTGCAGCCACAACAGCCAGGAGCTGAACCCAGAGCCAGAACCAAACTGGAGATGTCCAGGAGCTGTGGCTGAACCAACATCAAAACCAACCAAATCCAAACCCCAAAATAAACCAAACCAACCCAAAATCAAACCAGCAAACCCAAACCAAAGGGAACCTCAGAATACCCCCACGCACACCAAGGAAGGGGGGCCCAAGCCCCCAACCGGGAGCTGTGTCAGAGCTGCTTCTTGGGGCTTCACACCCCACACCCTGCATGTGGGGCTCCTCTGTGCAGGGACAGACGTGGCCCAGTCAGCTCCTGGCAGTGGTGGAGCTCAGACTGGTCAGAGCTGTTTGTGAGCTGGAGCTGAATCCAGAGCAGGAACCGGCCGGAGCTGCAAATGAACAGGAGCTGGGCCTGAAAGAGATGGGGACCTGACCCAATACAAACGCAGCCTGAACCCGAGTCAAACAAGCAACAGCAAGCACAGCAAAACAAACCCAGAAGCAAAACGGGCCAAATCCCCAACCTCTGGCCGTGTCCGCGTCATCCCCAGCACAGGCAGAGCGGCTGCTGCTGGATTCCACACAGCTCCCGTCGCGGCTGCGGCTCCTCCGCCCGTCCTTGTGTCCGTTCCTGTGCAGGGACCGGACCCGGCTCAGTAGCTCCCGGCAGCGCGCCCCTGCCCCAAGAGACCCGGAGCTGATCCCCGGCCCCAGCAGCGCCGGCACCCGAAGGGCGGGACGGGGGTTCCGGCCCCTCGCAGAGGAAGGGCAGGAGGAGGGTGGCGCCCCCTAGCGGAGGGAGGGCAGGGCAGTGATGGCGCCCCCTAGCGGAGGAAGGGCAGGGCAGCGGTGGCGCCCCCTAGCGGAGGAAGGGCAGGGCAGCGGTGGCGCCCCCTAGCGGAGGAAGGGCAGGGCAGGGCAGCGGTGCCTGCGGCTGTGTTAGCGCAATGGAGGGGGGCTGTGAGCAGGGAGGTGCTGCGGGAGCATCGCACCATTCCAGGCACATGGAATAGGGCAGAGCAAGGTGAGTGTTCTCTGGGGGAACGACGCGTCCCATGAGTCAGGGTCTCTGTGGGCAGGGCGCTCATGTGTGAGGGGATGACTTTGATCGTGAGCCAGGTTCCTGCCGGCAGCAGTGCAGGGACTGCACGTCTTTGTATCGGTCATCAATGGAAAGCATTGAGTTGTCCACGGTGAGCTTTTAAAAACACTTCATGGATTCAGCACTTGGTGTCTGGAATCTTTTCTTCGTATCTGATGACTTCAGAAAGGTTTTGCTATTTTCACAGGAGCACAAACAGAGCTAAATGAACACAAACATGGTTCTGTGCGTGTGTGAAATGCAAAAGCCCCCAAATTCAACAGAAATATTTTCTACTGTGTGTCATAGGTATGAAACACTTTTATGTTTCAAAGTGCACACAAAGCAGCTCATTAACACAGATCAGTATTTGTCAGGATGGATAAGTATTGCAAAGAAAGAAAAACACATCAACATCCGACACGTTATAACTACCAATGAAATGCTACATTTAACGAACAGGAAGTGTCTGTGCGTGAACTAACTTACATTTCCAGTCAAAACCCAGGTAAATACACATTCTAAATGGCTTATCTTGAACTGAAAGTACTACTTTTTGACAAACGTCTCCCACCATGTGTCTATAAATCAATGACTTTCTCAATGAGAACTGGGTTTTGTATTAGCCCTGCGTCGGCTGTACAGTTACATGGGTGCAACCTGAGAGTTAAGTCAGTCTGACTTCAGTGACAGCAGCTCTTGTACACGAACACTTCCATACCTGACTGCAGCTGTGCCCGTGAAGGGCTCCATTAGCACATTCAGAGCTCAGACTCCATCTGTATCTGAAATACTTTCCAACTTCTATTTGTAAAATATCACTCCGGTGCACTCCAGTCCATAATGGGATGTGTGGGAAAAAGGCTGGATGGGACAGCCTTGTGATGGCTTCCATCTCCTGCAGAGCAGCCGTGCGTGCTGCACTGGTGCTGAGCTACAGTAAAAGAAAGGAAGGGAACCGAAGGCTCCTTAAATCCTTGTCTCTCTTAACAGGACAGATGTCATTGTCTTGGGCAACCAGATTTCTACAGTCACAGAAGTGTGAGGTCTGATGAATATCACCTAATTATTAACAACTAAAACAGGCAAAGTCCTGTGTAACCCACCCATGGCTGTTCTTTTCCCCAGCATGAACTGAAGGGCAATCTGTGCTCCCCTGTATTTACCGTGGGCTAAAGGATACGCGTAAGGTTTTAGAGCACAGGACCTAACACACAGTGAATGCACAGAGCTCTGCACAGCCCTGTGTGCACAGCCTGCACTTACACACCTATCGCTGCTGTCCTGCAGGCTGCCCTGTCCACAGCAAGGCCGAGAGCCAAACCTTGGGAATCCAATCCAGAATTCAGCCAAACATGATGGCGTAGGAAGCTCTCAGGAACTGCACGTAATTCTGCATGCTCTGGCTCTTGTTCTCCGACTTCTGCAGGCTGTTCTCCAGCTCCTTCAAATGTACTTCATGGTGCTTTTTGTTCTAGAGGAAAACACAAAGAGAAATGCAATGAGCTTAGAAGTAAACCACAAATCAATCAGGAATCGGGTAAGGCGGCTGGTACCTGATTGTTGGAAGTGTCATTTACCTGGGACAGGTTTCAGAGGCTCCACAAAACTGAAGGGTTCCAAAAAGGCCACAAAACGTCAAGGCTTTGTTTATGTTCAGTTAGGACCGAAGTGATTGTGTTTGGCTGAGCTGATAATCAGGATAAGGCCTGGGAATGGAAGAGCTCATTGCCTGAATTCTTCCCATGAGAGATTTGTGGCAGCTTAAATCTGTCCTGGGCTCAACACTCTCTCTCATCTTGATTTGTCAATAAACATCTGCTATTGCTATTCGATGTGATTTGTGATGCCTGTAGTTCCTTATACAAAAAAGATGGCTGATAGCAATCCTGCCTGCTCACCAGTTCCACCCCTGGTGCACGTCATAGGTTATATGTTATATATATGCTATGTACATGCTGCAGATACCCAGGTATTTACTGCTTTGTCTATTACAGATTCCAGGTGCTGATCGGTTAAAATAAATTCATTCTAAAAAACTGGAATTACAGCCTCAGATTTCGGTCCAGCCTTAGCTGGTCAGGAACTGAATGAAGTTACCCTCACAGCCCCATTTTTCCCAGTTTCACTACAACAACAGGAATAAAACCGTTTCCTCGTTTTCCAGAAGGCATCCTCAGTTACGTGTAAATGGAATTGGAACAGATAGCATTTAATTAATTGAGAGCAGCTCTCTCAAACGTTTATATTTTACCTGTGAACTTCAAATGGAAACCACTTGAAAACATCCTGGGAGTTTTTCTGGGACCAAATACAAGACAGTTTCTTTTCTGTTTTACTTCAACACAGCAAGAATTTCCTATGCAAAACTGTAATAGAATAAGCCACCAGCCAATGTCTGATCTTGTTTTAAGAACACTTTTGTCTTAGGGTAAAAGCAGACGTGAAGTTGCACTTGATACAGATCAAAACTGATGAAAGCACGCTGAATTCAGAACCACGTCTCTGAGGTCTTATTCAATCTTGAATAAATTCAAGCCAACCAAATGCAAATTCTAACCTTGAATGCTGCGAGTCAGAATACACAACATTGGTTTTGGAAGTCTAGGAGAGTGATAGGAAACCTTTCCAGTGTCTTCTCTATTAACTTTAGATGTCTTTGTAGCTTATTATTACTGATCACAGGACAAACCTCTGAGTCAAAGCCCAGGATTTGCCAGCACTGGTCTGGAGAATTCAGCTGTGTGTGGTATTTTATTAATAGAAAATGTGCTGAAATTTTCTGGCTTAGATAAAACAACGGAACAGATTCCTTTGTTTATCTGCAGAGAACATTGCTCACCCCGAATCCTTCTCAGACTGTGGCTTTGCTGAAGAGGTAAGGAACAACAGAATCCCGGGCATTTAAAGGCCTGATGCTTTGAAAAATGAGAACATCTCTTTTGTTACCAGCTCTGTTTCTGTGCAACATCAGTACAGAAGATGAAAGCTGCTCACAAATTCCAGTGAGATCTGAATCTTGTCATCAAATCAGGAACAACTAAAAAGATGCCACTATGTCATTATGGAACCGTCATGCATTTCCTAAAATCCAGGTGTGTTCACTCAACATGAGAAGGACATTACAGCTTCATACATATTCTTTGATTTTTGCCTTGCTGGAAAAACTGGATTGAATAAGAGCTGTAAACTCAATATTGCTCGAGTGATTTAGTCAGACTGGCCATCTTTTAAGTCTATTAGAAATGTCAATACACAAAGTCTATTGTCAAATGGAATTCATTTGCTGTTCCCAAAAGCGTGTATCAATTTCAGCAGCAGCGTGTGTTTCAGTAAAAGGAACTCTGATTGTAAGTGCTGATGTAGTAATTCCTGAAGTCATAAGCAGTGTTATTTACTCACGTGGTGAAATATGCAGTGGAGTTGTTTTTTCTTTTCTTGCCCCTCTCTCACTTCAGCCTCAAGAAACAGCATCTTTGTCTGAAGGGCTTGTTCTCTGCATGACATCTTTTCCAGTTCTTCAGCCACCTGTAAGGGTAATGAGAGAGAAATGAGGTACATTTACTTTCACGTCAAACCCAAAGCAAAGTATGTTCTTATACCTCAGCATTAACAGCTCCACTGCCTGTCCTGTCAGCTAATAGAATTGTAGAATAGTTTGGGTTGGAAAGGACCTTAAGATCATTCAGTTCCAGCCCTGCTGTGGGAAGGGACGCCTCACCCTAGACCATGTCACCCAGGACTCCGTCCAACCTGGCCTTGAACACTGCCAGGAATGGGGCATTTACCACTTCTCTGGGCACCCTGTGCCAGCGCCTCAGCACCCTCACAGGGAAGAACTTCTGCCTTTATATCCAACCTGAACTTCCCCTGTTTCAGTCTGAGCCCATCACCCCTTGTCCTATCACTGCAGGAGTCCCTCTCCAGCATCCTTGACACTGGAAGCTGCTCTGAGGTCTCCATCAGCTTCCCTTCTTCAGGCTGAACAGCCCCAGTGTTCTCAGCCTGTCTTCATATGCAAAGTGCTCCAGCCCCTGCTCATCCTTGTGGGCCCCTCTGGACT